AAATAAGTCGAAAACTGGATTTTGCTGAAGAATGAGGACAACTGATAAACAAGTCGAAATAAACAGGATATGTGCGGTCAGCGAAGATTTCATGAGCAAAACGTTCACAAGAATCAATACGGAGGTCGCACAGTTTTATAAAGAGTCTACAGGAAGAAGTGAGACACAGCTGATAGTGACCAAGCCACAACGATGAACAAAGAAATCTTTTTCAAGTAAATCGAGGGTGATGACAGGTGAGGAATCGAGAATAATGGCTGATTACAGGTACGATTAGGTCACTCACCAGTGCAGTAGTTTCACACCTAGTTGAAACAAATCACACTGAATGTGACCGAGGCATTCCCTCCTCCGTATCGGGTTCTTGGTCGACTACTAAGGTAGGTTCGATGTCCTATGCTAACCACAACGGAAGCGGTAGGAATTCGTCTGCATAAGCCCCGTCTGCGTGCCCAAAAACAATTTGTGCATGTGCTTAAGGTCCTCGGGCCCACTCACCCCATATCCCCACTAGTCCCAACGATCGGATGATCTAACAATTTTGTGATCCTTGAAAATTCCACATCCGGTCCGAAGACGAAATTATCCCCAGATAACCTGAGGTTAATGTTCCCTTTCCTAAAACAATTGTTTGTTTTTTTATGGCTAAATACTAATACATAATACATATATTTGTTGTGATGTATTTGGTCTGACTGGGAATCACTGGGAGCCAACCTCTTCGCCACTCTTTGTTCAATGTGGAATAATGGGTAAGACACATTGATAAACGAAGGAAGAGTTGACAGACCAGAGATCTTCGAAACTTGCGGGTGTGGGAGGACAACAGCCTGAGTTTGCTAACATAACTCAGGATATGACCATCCACAATTATTATCCACGGTAACACCAAGCCGCTGGACGGCGTTCACTCCACAAATGGGAGAACCGTCAATGCGCGATGGCACATTGGGGTAAGAGGAACTCGAAAGAGTGCAAATACACTCAAAACATATAGATAAGTAGAGAGCGAGTAAGACCCAGTTGCTTCGAAAAGTCCTGATTGGAAGTAAAAGAAAAAGAAACGAAATACGACTGATTTGAAACAGCTTAACATAATAGAAAATTAGGTGATGGAACAGAAAAACCACAAGGGTAGAAATAAGTGGAGGGAAGGATAGAACCTTGAAGAATTCCAGAGTTGTTCACCGCTGGAAAAGATGAAGTCATGACCAGCTCGCTGCATTGAACTTTGTTCGTAAAATCGTCTTTTAAACACAAGAGGATCAACATAGGGAATAGGATGACTCTGATTTGTGGAAGAGGGAATATCGAGTCAAACACAAAAGAATGACCAATAAATGTACAACAGACGGACCTCAGTGAAAGGAACGGAGACTTATTGATCAAGTGAATGACAGATGCCACTGTATGTATGGTAGAACAGTTTGTTTTATGAGCAAATTGAGGAGGGTTCAGAGGAACACCTGAGGAAGAGCACAGACAACCGAGAACAGCTAATTCACCGAGTTTTAATGCGGCATAACTGTTTGCGACTGGATGAAAACATTTATAGATAAAACTTCAGGGAGGATAGAGACAAAATTAACAGGTTTTGTGAATTAGGAACAGAGCAGAAATCAACGGATTTATGGAAAAGGTTGCCACCAGCTCCGTTGTTAAACCAGTACTTTAACTGGGAAGCGTTGGAGACAAGTCATCAGAGTCAACTGCTGACCCTAAGGGAGAGATTCGGAGAAGCCTGAAACTTTCTTTCGTGGACAAAGCCTGTAAATCGGAATAGGCCGAAGCTGTGAAAGGCGATAGTATATTTGGAGTAGAGTAGATGAATGCAACAGTCAGCTCCTAGATGTCAGCACTGTCTAACTGCGGAGTTTTACATCGAACGCAGATAAGGCGAATACCTTGTTTCACTAATTGCCCGTTCTTGGCCTCTAGTAGTTGTCTAGTCAACATAAATACAATGAAGCACTCTACTTTCCACATGATTCTTTGGGATAGTAAACGTACTGCAACTGGACTGACAGCTAATGAAAATAAGTCAAATTAAAGTGTCTGGGGTCTCGTCCACTAAGTGATCTTTTGCGTAGACTAGCTGTTTGAGAGTTTTAAAGTATCCAATCACCCTGAATGTGTGCATGTTTGATATCTAAAGTTTCATCAAAAGACTGACCCATATGCCCTCTTGTTGCTTACTGCATTGCTGTCCCATTTGACGATCCAGTCGTATGATATAGACGGCATGGAATACATCATACACGTTCACTAGGCTGTTCCCAGAACATCTCTCTGTTATGTTGTAGTTAGGGCACAGATGCACACTGATGTGCACGGATCGGAGGAAGACTGTGTTCGTATGCGCTTGCGCACCCGATCTGGCTTCAAAGTACGCAGAAATCCACCTTGATCATCTGTAATTTTTAACTAGTGATTGTGTCTGTGGTGATGAAACTGANTGAGAGTTTAACACGGTCCGTTTGAGAATCTAACTACGAAATGGGCCGCAATCCCTGATTTACCTGTGGTTGCCTTACGACGACGAAAGACGAACGTGCTCCTGCTGGCAACGAAAAAACCAATCGCCTTTGTACTAAAACCAAGTACACGCAAGCTACGCTGTAACACCCACCATCGTCATCATCATCAATCGAGTGATAATTGCCATAATTACTATCAAGAACGCCAGTGGCAAGTGGCAAAATCTCCTCGACTTCATCCCTTACGCTTCCTCAGTTAGAATACTGACGACTGTTTTCACCAACAGGATTTAAACGCCAAACCTTACAGAAGTGCTTGCTTTTCAATAAGCATTCACAGGAAAACTGATAATTCAGTGGGTACTGGGACAGTTTTTGTGATATATGGAAATGAGGTTACCACGAATGAATTCATTCATGTGACCTTGGAAAATGGAAAAGATATCAGTGTACTTCACCCCGTACACACAAGTTAATGGTGGTCAAATTGGAATTTAAATGACAATGGGGATAAGCATAACGGGTAAAGTAATGATCCTGACGGGATATGTAACTGAAACCAGTTAGAGCGCAAGTACCAACAACTGCCTGTTCGCTCACACGACCAACACTGATCATGAAGGGTGACAACCTGAGGCCATATTGGCATTGCATCATGCATGAATGTAAATCAAATCGTGAAAAAGCCTTTCTGTCTCCCTTGACAGGATGCTCACCGGACCTCAGTCTAGAGGAAAACACTCTGTGCTTCGTTGTTAGAAAACGAAGGTAAACGTCAAGCACATCAAGATGAAAGTAGGAGAATCGAAGGCATAAGACTGCAAACGGAACGTCATTCTTCGCATAACTTTTCGGGTTGGTAGACAACAATACACGTTATTTACCAATACGGGGCTTCAATAACGTGAACAGATAATGCGAAGTTTCGAGGATCGCAAATTAGGATGAGGGTTCTAATGAATATTGCGTCTATCTTATACCTTAGAGGTTAACGAGTTTTTCTGTGCACTTTTTAAATAACTGAGTCCTCGTGTATTTGAAGTTAGGATGCCAAAAGCTTGAGCCTTTGCAAACAAGTAGCGATTAATTGGCGTTGTATGACAAAATGATTGTAATGATAATCAACGTCCAACACAGAATCCAGACTCCAAAAACCGTTACGCTCGAATACGAACTTTGGTAAACAAATTTGTATACGTCCTGCGCTTCGTGGTATTCTTCTGAAACAATATTCACGGTCTTTCAAATAAAGTTGGTTTCATAAATATACTTCATTTCATTAGGGACATTTTAATAAACTATTAATCGTTAATATTTCATTTTTAACGACGGAAACAATGTTTACTTCCATGATATTCTAAACCAGATGATTCAGCAGACCGGATCCAAGAGAACGCACCTCCCCCCTTCGCTCTACCCGCTACGCTGCGGTTGGATATATGTCAGAACTAAAGGCTTTGGTTGAGAACCCTAATAATCCTGCTTAGCTGTTGGATACCCTAACAGAACCCGCCCACCAAACTCGTGTATACACTAACTGTAAATTCCGTACTGTATCGGTCATCGCGCAGAACCGCGCTAACGAATTCAACGCGAATTCAACGTGCGCTGTGCTGCACAAGTGTTTCATCAGAAGAGTACTAACAGGTAGCCTGGAGAACTAAAAGAACTTGGAGTTAGGGATAAGATGCTCCCACTTACTACAAGACCCCACCAAAAGAAACGCTTCATCTATTTTCACTAACATGGTTTCCCTCTAACGCGAAGTTTCAGACGGATCAAGCAAAACCGAGACCACATATGCCTGTGTGCTTTCATTATCATCATAACTGTCTTAGGTCTTGGAGGACGTCAGCCACACTGGGGATCAGCCTCATGGGCTTCTTCGGCGCACATCAACCTCCAGTATCCAATGCTTGGTTGTCAGTGTAAAAGCTTCCTTATCTGGAAGGACTGAACACGAGCCGGTGTTGGGTAAGGGACCATTTCCAGACGTACTCCATTGGGTAGACCTATCCGACGACTCTATGGGGAAGCTACAACCCGATTAATGCACTGACTTATGGCGATACAGCTTCGCGTGCTCCCCCCATAAGCATGGCTTCAACTTCGCGCCCTATACTCCGTGGGTTTCCTATGACGAAGGACCCAATCCGTTGGTCGCCTGGCAGAAATTTATTGAGTCTTACAAACCTCATGACATCAGTGACTCAGACTAGAGTACTCACCAAATCCAGCATCCGAAATTCAGCTATTCGAGGCCGAACAGGGAAATGGCTATCTATGAGGGATTTATCCTGGCGAGGTTACAAACATCTTCCGAATGTTGTCACGTGGAACAGTCACCACATACTGAGGAAGCACTGCACCAGACTGATTCGTGAGGATAAACTGAAATACCAAGCGGCGCCCAGCACATATTCATTTCGAACCCTAAGCTGTTGTATATACACGTTAACTCAATTCGGAAAAAACTTTGGCATACCGGCACCAAGGTCTGCTGGAACAGTTGCAGCCACTCCAATGGGAGCAGCTGAAATGCTGAAAACTCAGTATTCCAACGTTTTCGCGGCACCGCAGGTTGAAGGTCTACAGCTACCTATTCGGTTGCGTAATCCTAAATATCTTTCGCTAACCAACGCAACATTTACTGCTGAAAACGGCAAAGCAAAACAAATGGCTCTGCGAAAAAATGCAACCCCAGGTATGGACAGTATACACCAAAAATCCCTGATCTTGTTAGCAAATCACATACCCGAACCGCTAGTCACTTTGTTCCAGCGAATGGTCGATGAAGCAACTCCCGGAATCGTGGAAACAAGGCATGAGTTCGCCGAATTTTCTTACAGGAGCTCTACAATTACAGCATCCGAGATCTCGTGTTTCACTGGCTTAGAGCATTCCTCCAACAACGGACCATATCAGTTCGTGTTTCTGATTTCATATCCGGATCTATCAATGCCAACCGCGGTGTTCCACAAGGGTCCGTACTTGGTCCCCGTCTATTTCTCGCATTCATAAATGAACTACCGAGTGTTAGATCCAAAAACAACACAGTTTGCAGACGAAGACAAAATCTGAAATACAGTAACAGAAACCGAGGGCTCTCTAACAATTCAAGAATCATTTGACGCAGTTTATCAATGTACTAAGGAGAACGGTATCATCNNNNCCACCGTACAGCGAAATACAGGGAAGCGAACTTCACTGATCGCTGCCAAACTCGCAAGGCATATACTTTGGGGTTTGATGGTACTGCCAGGGTGTACAGCCACTAAGCAGGAATTGAACTCAGTGTTTCTAAATGCAAAGTCCTATCCCTACGCCACAATAGAAGGTGCTTGTATATCCTCAGGAANCTACCACATACTCCAAGTGAAAAGGACTAAGTTATTGTTAATCAATAGGATTTAAGCTGCTTGATCAATTGCGCTAAGGCTTCGTCCGCTGCTGTGAAGAACATCGGCTTAAGCAAGTATTTGGTCGGCTTGAATCAGCACTGTTCCCACGTTCGCTATCAGTGTACATTCGACAGCACACAGAGTACGCCATCCAAGCTTGGAGCCCACGTGATCGCAAGATGCTTGAGCGCCCACAAAGGATGGCCACCAAGATGGTCAAGGAATTGCATCACCTCACCTATGAGGAGAGACTGCGATCAATGGGACTATATTCTGCTCAGTACCGCTGAATTCGGGGAGACTTGATTTTGACGTATCAAATGCTGAAGAACCCAAACCATCCATGTTGGCAGCTGCTCACGTTATTGAACAATATACACCTTAGGGGACACCGTTTCAACTTACAGTGTCGACTGGAATGCCGGCGCCAATCTTTTGCAGTCAGATTATGCAGTACCTGGAACACCCTTCCATTTCACATTGTTTGTGCACCAACTATCAAATCTTTTGAACGGAGACTCGATGAAACCTTGGCGCACCTCACACTCCTACACCACTAAAAGCAAACGCAAATTCACTTAAGCCTGTTCACGTTGGCCGTTCTGTTGAAATACTTGCAACCTAGCGTGTTCAAAAAACCTAAGTAAAGCATTTGTCAGGAATTGGTTGCCACATGTTAAAGGGGTTAGAAGCAAGAAACACTTTCCTGGTACTGGAACCGGTCAAAAGCTGGATTGGGTGTGTATTGGGCGCATTGTATGTTTGACCGCGCCCATGTATGACTTGGGTAACTGGGCATCAGAGCGAAATAGTGCATATTCAGGTACCGCCGAGGGCTACGGTTGTGAAGTCCGAAATAAAACTCAGCTATTTCGGTCTAGGTAGTGTATCGGCCTTCCGGCTACTAGCAACGAACGGAACCACTTTTGTTGTACAGGTCGCTGTACCGCGACTTGTTTCGCATCCAATCTGGGATTAGCTGCGAGTGAAACACTGATATATACAACAAAAATTAATACAGAAATGGATACATTTTTAAGGACACCGGTTACTCGGAGACAAATTTAGAAATCCGGCAACAGGAATGAGACACATGAAAGAATGAAATTCCTCGTTTCCATTTCCTTAACCGAAGTACACCCTCAGAATTACTGACTTAATGTTGACAGACATCGTTCGTATGGCTGCTGATTATTAATCAAATGTGGGCAGTTTACAATAGTCTGGTCGTTTAGACGAATTTTGGGTACCTATTTTAGGAAATACAGTGCCCAGCATTCACATCGACTAGAACTAGTTTTATCTACCTCCCTTAGGCAATCTCCTTACTATACAGTAAAACCGTATATATATGAAATTATTACTCGCTCAGTAGAAGGAAAACTAGGATTAATGCCTTTACAGGGGTGGTTGCGGCGCAGTCAGTCACCGGTGTGTTTTGGACAATATGGTCCGAGGTTCGAGCCCCGCCACCGAACTGTGGCAGGCAGCTTGGCTTTCGTCCGGTTCACTAGCAAGCATAACTCAGCGGGATCTCTCGCGGCACGCCACTACACGTTACGAGGCTAACGCTACCAGTTTCCATTACTGGACGGTGGGTTTTCACAACTGCGGAGTTCCCTTTGGCCACTGTTCATCACTCAAGAGTGTGATAAAACAACTACTTCGCCAAATATTCTAATTGTCCTTCTGAAACACAGCACTCAAGATGGACCGTAAAAACATATATGATCGTCCGTACTGGTACAATGCGTGACAGTTCAGTGATGGTGTTTGAGGTATAAAAATAAAGGAAAATTGACCATTTATCCCGGGGAGATCGCACTGATTAATATAGCTTGAGGTCACCGGAGACGTTATCAATATCAGATGCCAAGCCTTAAAAAAACTAAACGTTACCGCTCGAACTCGCATACCTGGGCCGATACCCAGCACCGTGGCGGTGCCTTCAGCTACTTGAGTATGTCCTGCATCGTGAATGATAGCATTCACAAGGCCCAGCGAATCAGCTTTGGCTGATAGCGATTCTCTAAGATTAAAAATTATACATTCCAATATTTCTCACAGTTCTTCCAAAGATCCCGCCTTCAGAACAATTTTTGGCTGGCCTTGTCGTTCCCATGCTTGAAGTACGGCAGGGCAATCCTCCAACGCGTATTCGTAGCAGCAGAGCGTTGCGTGAGAGCACTAAAGATGGAATTTTAAAAAAACGGGCTACCTGGGCCGCGACTTTTCCCTTTCCCATATTCAAATCGGTGCGCACAACCAAGACCAATTTCATTTTTCCCGGGAGAGGTTTATACGGGATAACTGTATGCTGTAGAAAACTCGTAACAATCGCATATCTCCAACTTACCCGCCTCACAGCAAAACGTCTGGCCAGAGCCCAACCGAGAAGAACACCCAAGCCACCAGACAACAGTGACGATATTATTAGAGTCGACATCTCGCCGCGCCTATCACCGAAGACCAGCCTCCAAAAACGTGGTTCGGCGGAGTTTGAGTCACGCGCCATAAAACTTCAAGGTCATTTCAATGTCAAATGATGCACGTCGGGTCAGGTCAAATTCCAATCACAGGACGTATAGAGGCCTTCGCCTGTTGGGTGTCCTGGTAATGGCGGGTTCCGTCTGTGAACCGACTCGCCTGCGAGTGTAAAGCTTCTTCCGATTCTTCACGAGTAATAACCAAAGGACTATCCTACGAAGACCGGCTTCGGTACCTGAACCTCTTCTCTATGCGTAGGAGACGTTTGAGAGGAGACCTGATCGAAGTCTTCAGACAAATGAAGAACACCGATCTAGGTCTCCTACCGCGGGAATCCAAGAGAGACCTGAGAGGCCATGAATGTCACTTAGAAAAGAATAGAAGTAGGTTAGATGTGAGGAAACATTTCTTTACCAACAGCGTGGTTANCCGGAAGACTCGTTCAGCTGACCACAGTTCAGGCCTTTAAAATGGAATTGCATAGAGTATGGGCCGAAACATTTCCAGAAGTGACCTTAAACAGAAGGGAAATAAGCTCCCTCTTTTATGCTCCCCACCCCCACGTTTTGACACAACGTGGTGCGCATGCTCAGCATGCGAACGAAGGAGCACTTGCGATTAAGTGTACGTAAGTCTCTCACCGACACGGCGAGAAGACAGCATGCCTCCTTCCTTTTTCAGCCTTACCAATAAAAGACGCGACTTCTACTACATCCGAATCCCGCAACTTCCGAAGGTCGCGGAATTATCAACCGTGCTGCGAGCCGGACAAACGTACAGCTCGATCGGTCTACCGACAAGATCGAGTCAGAATCAGGACAACAATAAGGCCGAGGCCTCTACGTCCTAGAAGATTGGATTGGATTGGATTGGATTGGATCTGGAAGGTGGAATGTAGAAAGGAAAGGGAGACGGCGCAGTATCTGTTATGTGCATTCCATCAGTAAATTTAGGGAACCTTGATCCCTAGGGCAGTTCTGGGAATAAGAGGTACCACTCGTTGTCCAGCTCAAGTTTGAAAGCCTTCATTGTTGGACAAGCAACCATTCGAGCTGGTAGTTTAGTGACTCTATGGTTGCTGATATTCGTCAGAACCTGTCACTGATGTTTACTCACGT